GGGTTTTAAACAGCACAAGCGCAATCTTTTGATTCCAGAGGCTGGCGCACATTTGATCCTCTCTTCGGGAACCCGACCTTTTAAATCGCGCCAAGTCATTCATAAAAAGTGAATAGGGAACTTTAAGGCGTGCATTTGTCTGGCTTCAGTTGTAGGTGCCATTGGGGCTGGATGAGGTGCCGCCCTTGGTGGGGTGTAGGAAGTTAGATCCGGCAGGCGGCAGGTGGTTTGCAAGCTCGGGGCAGGAGAGGAAAAAGTTTAGTAGGGGGACGCAGAGGCGCACGGTTGCCAGAGCCAGCGACCCACTAGGAGGGGGGCCTCTTGCGGAAGCGGCAACAACAGGCCGACTCGCCGGAGAAGAAGTGTTTTTTCTTATTTAATTTCTATTTTCATTTTTTGAGGGCAAGTGGGGGGGGGGGGGAAGCAAGGCTATGACATGCGAGTAGAGAACCGTACAGTTTGTGAGTGTTAAAGCAGGCGGACCCTTGTTTTATTCCCCCCAAGATGAATAAAGACTTGAAGAGCCTGCGACAGCTCGCCGTGCCTCTGCTCTTCTTCGCCCTGTGCGTCGCGGTGCAGCAATCCGACTCTGCGGTAAGTGCGTTCCCCCACTTCTTTCTTCTTTCTTCTCTTTTCTTTCTTTTTTTTTGCACACATTTAAAGCTTCCTATCTGCGAGATATCCCCGCATGAAGAAGCCGAGAGACCTGCCCGCTCTCACTCAGCCGGCGCCGGGACACCACCACCGGCTCTCCCAGCAAGCACCGAATACGGTTTATAAATAGAGAGGCTGCTTTATAACAAGTGCTTATATCCTTCTGCTCTAATAATAATCCCGCTACCATCTCCGTTTATGTTGCACTCAACGTAATACCCGCGTAATTGGGACAGTTCTGCACCTTTTATGAGCTTTTTATGGCACTTTTTTTTTAACGACGGGCACCCAGGAGCACCTTCACGGGCTCCGCTTTGTAGTTTCATGGAAGATCGCGGGACTGTCCCGTTCTCCCTGCCTGAGGCAACCTGTAGCAACACGCCAACCACGGTGCACTTTTCTCCCCTCAGCCTGCATGTGTGCGTGTGTGTGTGTGTGCTTTAATTCTCGTTATCGCGTCAAAGATTCAGACGACGTTACAAGCCGTAACGCTTGTCTGGAGGAGCGCGGCGGTGCAGCGCGCCCGGTCTCCCTCCACCGACAGGGCCGCCTTGTCTTCTTATTAAAACATTAAAGTTAACAGCAACATTCCTGCTCTGTCAGTGATAACACAGTCTGCTACATGCGAGCCCTGTTGTGCGTAATTTAGTTTGGTGACATCCTAAGGAAAACCTTTTACATCCCCAAAAGAGAGGGAATGCGACTTTTAGCAGGGTTTATTAAGGTGGATCTCCCCTGCAGGTGTGTTTTATGTTGACAGCACCTGGTTACTCACGCATATTGTCTCATATTTGGAAAAAAAAAGGCATCTTTATTGGTTGATAAGACCATGCAGGCTTGGATTTTGTGCAGCCAGGACGGAAGAAACATCACTTTAGGGGCTCTATTTGGTGAAATCTCTCTTTTTGCACTTGTATCAGGAGCAGACATCCAGGAGGGGTGTGTGTGTGTGTGTGTGTGTGTGTGTGTGTGTGTGTGTGTTTGCGCATACTTTCCCCCTCTTCACTCTGCATATCTGTTTGAATTAGTGGCTTCACGGCCCAGCTGCAGCTCTCCAACTCTACATGTGTGACATCCCTGTATGAAACAGCTGTATCATCAAAGTCATCAATCAGGGCGAGAGTCTCGGTCTCTAACCTCTCATGTAATATTCCAACGGGCGGTGTATTGCATGCGATGAATATTCACGGATCATTAATAATTCATGAGTGGCATGCTGATGGCGGCACACGGTCCCGCCCACACACCAGGCGTGTCCAATCAGGCCTGCACACTTTGCTGTTTATCAGTATGTATGGAATGAGCCTGTAGATATATGAGGGCTTTTTATGTTTATGTTCCAGATCATGCAGGAGACTTTTATTTATCTCCATCTTGCAGGATGTTTGCATCCCGTGTTTCCATGGCTGCACTGCATCACCTAACAGAGCGCAAAGTCTCTTTTTTAGGCTATTAACGTGACATAAAAAATAACTTTAAATAAGTTCAAGGTGAGGTCCAAGTCAGTCTTGGAGAGATCGGTGAGTCTGCTCAAAGTTTATAGAGGAAATGTATTTAAATAACAACCCAAGGAGCTGCCTCTATCAGTTTATACATCCTCAAATACACAACTGAGCATCAGCGCTGTTCCTGCAGCAAAAAATAAATTCAATTTTTCAATATAAAAGCTAGAAAAGTTCATACAGGGCGCTGACATTATTTGGCATACTCAGATGCACACACACACTCAAGGTACATATGTCCTAAAGAACAGAATGCAAACAATTATACCATGTAGAATAGGGTTAGTTTGTCACTAAAGATGCTCTCTTAGAAGAATATATACCACCATGCATGCAATTATTTCAATCAGCTGATACAAAAATCCTTAGATTAATATACAGCCACTGTTTGATGAGTTAAAGTCGTGGAATAAGACTAAATTATTGCTGTCCTTCCACATATGGATGCACAGGGCACTCCTGCCACGTTAAAGCACTCACGTAAAAGATCAAATATAGAGGTTATCTGGTGAAGGCATGTTTGTAGGTGTAGGTTAGGTGTTTCAGGCCAGACTTGTTGAGCTGTTATTGTTGCCATGGAGATGTTAAGTCAAAGGTGGAGGGGGGGGGGTCCACTTTGTAGCTAGGAATGCGGCTGACCCCGCCCTCTCGGAGAGGATGAGGAGGAAGAGGAGGTTTCAGAGGGGAGAGGAGGGCAAAAAAAACCCCATCAAGCTAAGGCTCATAAAACACACACACACACAGCTTTCAGCCACATCTCGCAGCCTTCATCAGTTTCCTTCTGGCTGTGAGATGTGGAGGTAAAGCTCTGGAAAAAGCAAGTAAGTGAACCTTTAGTGAGCAATACAGAGGGAGGGGTGATGCAGGTGTTGTCATTGCCTCACTTTCTCTCTCTGTCTCTCTCTCTCTCGCGCATGCATGCCTGGCTTCTCCTCTTTCCCAGTATTCCTGGTTGGTTCAGCCAGTGTTCTCACTGGGTCCCCCTAGTGGAGTCTGTTTATATGACCCCAAAACTCCAAATATTTCCACTGGAATTCAGCCTGCCTTCATCATCACTGTTCACTAATAACCACGTATCTCCAAACATGGTGAACTATTAAATATAAATGAAGCGTTACATTTTCATTTATGCCACTTATGTTTAAAATGGTCGCACAAAAATTCCTTAAAATCCACTTGATTCGTCAAAAACACATTTTGCTGCTTTTTGCCTTATAGATCATGTGAAGTTGCCATTTGGAGATACGTGGTTTTCACAGCATGGTGACAATAAGGAGCTGAATCAGCACTTTAATTCAAAATAAACACCTAAATCTGTCTCCTTATACACACACAGGGGGGCCTCTCTTTGCAATTTGTAATCATTAACCTGTTATAAATAGTCTCATACATCACTGTTTCATAGTTATTTGGTTGTGTGTGTGAGTTTGTGTGTG